GAGCGGGCGGAGGCGGGGGGGCGCGCATCCCCTCCCCGCGCGAGCTGGCGGCGCACACGCAGAGCATCATGCAGGGCGCGCTCATCAAGAAGAAGCTGGAGGAGCAGCGCGAGAACTACCGCCGCCGCCACGACCCCCACCACAAGCAGCCCACGCCCATCTCCTTCACGCCCACCTCGGTCTGTGCATTCCTCTCCCCTGCACCTTGTTCAACTAATTACGGAGAGGCTGAAACCAGCGCGGCCCTCACTGATAACCTGGAGGCGGCGTCGGTTGAGCACATCTTCTAGTAGCCAACAACAATATCTAGTTTATGTCTTTGTTAATATAAATATATAATGTGTATATATATATATACACATATATATATATTGAATCGTTTGGTCAACTTTACTGACCGGGAAACCGCGGGTCGTTACAGGTGCTGCGCAAAATGACCGCAGACAAGGAGGCGGAGGCGCCGAGTCCCAAGCAGCAGCCGCCGCAACCCTGGGCGCAGCCGCCCAAGATGCCGCAAGGACGACCCATAGTCAAGGTAAATCAGAATAGAAGAAACGGGAGAGGAGGCGAGGAGGCGAGGAGGCGAGTCGCAGCAGTGCTGTAGCGGTCGTCGTGTCCGCAGGGAAACCAGAGCGGCGCCGCGACCGCGCCCTTCGGCCAGCCGGAGTACGCGCCGCACCACTACCTCGGCCAGCAGCAGATGGCGGGCGTGCGCGCCTTCCCCCAGCCCGCGCCGCGCCAGCAGTACGCCGCGGGGGCCGGGGGGCGCACCTCCGCACCCACCACGCTGCAGCAGCTGCTGCTGCAGTCGCGCCAGCGCTCGCTCAACGGTAAACTTGTACCGCGTGTCGGTGTTGCGAGCTCGGGGGGCTCGGTGTAACGTGCGGTGTGCTGGTTGCAGAGCTGGGCGCGGGCGGGGCGGGCGCGGGCGCGGGCGGCGGCGACAACCAGCTGGCGCGCTGGTTCTCGCCGGAGCTGCTGGCGCGCGCCTCCGCCGGCAAGCTGCCCTCCGTGCACGTGCCCAACGCCGTCGCCCTCGAGGACCTGGAGCGCCACCAGGCGCAGCTGGCGCCGCACCCCGCGCAGCCCGTGCGCAACTAGCGCCGCCATCGCCGTCGCCACCGCCACCGCCATCGCCACCGGCACCGGCGTCGCGACACAACAATTCTAAAGGACTTAAACCCTGCAATATTATAAGTTCGATACGTTTGGCCGGGACCCACCTCCCCCCCCCATCTCCCCCCTCGGCTCCGCGTCAATGTATTCACTGAACCGTATGTTTCCATTTAATGTGCCCGTCTCTTTTGTAATTTTTATTGTAAATTAGTTAATTGTGCGCGTGTGGGCAACAATGGCAGCGCCCTGCCGGACAGAGGAGGTGCGTCCCTCCGAACCTGTAAAAATACCCTCATCAGAAGTAGGTGCGCTTACGTTACCATTACCACCAATTACAAAATAGATGAGAAAATTTGTAAATGAGATAAATGTAATAATTGTCTCCGCAAGACGTCGAATAAACTATAAGCAATATGATGTGGTCGCGAGCGGCGCGACAACTTCACACTTTACCATTAGCTAGACTTTGATTACAATTTATCAGTTTTAGATAATAATAATAACGAGCCTTACGATTGTATCGAGGCGCAGATCGGAGCTGCGGCTAGCCGGCACCGTGTGTCATGTTGGAGCGCGCCCGACTGCCAGATTGGTTGTGAGCGCAGCAAGCGGCGCCCCGAGCGCATCCTACTCTTGTAAACATTATTGTTGTTGCGTCGTTCTTGAGAGCATACGATAAAGTTTTACCTTTCAATATCATCAGATTTGACAATGTTGTGTTGTGTTTATGCACTTTTCAAAAAGAGATGTGAAGGTTGACGATTTTCCCGCTGGCGAGGTAATGTTGAGTAGCGCGGGGCCCGCGCAGACGCCGGCTCCGGCCCCGGCCCCGGCCTCGGCCCCGGCCCCGGCCCCGGCCCCGGCCTCGGCCCCGGCCTCAGCCCCCGCCCCCGCCGCCGCCCCGGGCCGCCGCGCATTTATTTTACCCTTTTACTTTTTTTAAAAACCTATTAAATGTTACAACTTAACAATTAAGGAGCATTTTTACATTCACTTGGGGATGTTTAGAAATGATATAAAATTTTGAAAAGTTTATTTTAAATGGATTCCCCGGAGGGTGAGAGCGTCGCGCGGCGCGATGCTGTGCGATGCGGTGCGGTGCGGCCGGCGGGCGGGCCCCGCGCGCCGCGGCATCAGATGCGCGCGGTCAAATGCTGGACTGTTTGTTTAGAAACGCGTCTCGCGACCGTTTTTGATAAAAGAAAAAATGTCTCCTGTAAGCTTTAAATTATTGAATAAAGAGAAATTTGAAAGTTGCGTTTGTTTTTTTTTTCAATAATCTCGATTTATGATCGAAATATGTAACATATAGAAAAACCAGTTGGTGACATACTCAAAACGAGAACAAGGATATCTGAACCCGTGAGAGAGGCGCTGAGAGGCGCTGCTGTCGATAATGGTTCTCAGAATATACAGCTCGTTCGGGAATTACAAAGCTTAGTCGCTTGAGGGCTTCAAATTTTGAAATTTATTTTACATTTAATCAAATGTCTCAAAAATTCTTAGATATATGTATATATTAAAACACAGTTTTTGTTTCATAAATTACACCTTTTTGCAAAACAAACCTTTGTCATAAAATGTACAGAAGACTTCCAAACACGAATGTTGGAACAAAAATTATATTTTTGGCAACCGCCTTGAAATCGCTGCCAATTTTTATTGTGACATAGAAAGTTCAATTTAAAAGATTTTTTTGTCTTTGGTAAGATTTTAGCCAAATTCTTGGCTGGCTAATAGCTATTTTGCCACAAATTAACTAAAATATATTTAGAAGGTGTCGGTTTAGGCAAGGTCCCCAAGATACTGGCAGCGTTCCCCCTTTGAATACTAATTCTTTGTCCGAGGTAGCTGCCAACTCTTCGGTCCCCTGTGATGTCGATTAACTTTTTTGATATTTCCTTAAAAAGTCTTAGAGCTCTATGACCCCACGGACCAAGGGTCTCGACGTCGAATGGGACAAAATCATATTCGGAGCCCAGACCGACGTGTATTTGCTTGCTTTAACATTTTCTGCCGCTTCACAAGCCGCACCCGCTCTGTTGTTGGTTCCATGTAGTTGGGCAGGGGCCAGCGTGTCTGAACAGGTTGCATCTCATACCAGCACAGTTAGTAGTTTAACAGTGGTAGAGCCCGCTTTAACATCTTCGCACGAATTGTCCCGGCTTGTCTGGTGAAATACCACGACCACACAGAACACAGGCGTGAAGTGGGAACAATTCCGCGTTTCGTCTGTTGAGTGTGCGTCCCGGAGGCCTAATTTAGTCCTCTTTCCCTTCCTACCCTTTTTCTTATAAGGAAAGGATGGGTAGTGGAAGTGGACTTTCCGGATGAGAGGATGCATGGAAATGTTTTCTTTCTGTGCATCCTCTCCTCCGTCGATTAAAGGTAGGCAACGCATATGCGATTGCGTATGTCTATGGGCAACGGTCACTTCGCTATTTCAGCGATTTCAGGTGGCCGCTCGCTTGTTTGCCATCTTATGATATAAAAAAAAGGCACCCGACCCAACATCCATGGATTCAAACTCACACCGGACGATAGAATATCGAATTAATTTTGTATGATGATTCATGTTGTACTTCATAGACGTTGGTCTTAGTGTCAGACCTTACGCGCATTACGAACAACTATGAAGTATCAAGAATCGATCTTGTAATAATATAAGTCAAAAAATAAATACTGAAACTTAGGTACTTTTTGAATTTATTACAGATATTTAGCTGTCTAGCGCAATTATAACAGTCCTTTTTGTTTCTCAAACTTTCGAGCTTCTTTTAATTTTAAATGAAAGTAAGTTAACATATTTATATCATTGAAATATCTTTTAAGGGGCGTTTTTTCTAAGAAAATAAAAATCGATTAGCAAACTGAATAGGTTAGGTTTGAAACATTATGAATGAAAATAAAAAGATATAGGTAAAGTTTCATCGGTGTTTGTATTAACCAATATTGCTTAACAAATTCAGTGCCGCCACAATATTTACTTATTAAAGTTGACTCTGAGGAACCGAACGTTGTGACGTAGATTGGGAGGTGGCAGAGGAATAAATGTACACAGTAATAACCAAAAATCGTTTAATCATTCTTATCAGTCAGGAACATAGAGACAGGAGTACAACAAATAATGGACACTTAATCTACCACTACTGATGCTAACACATACTAAAAGTTAACCGATTAACTTATTCCCTAAACTAAATGACTTCGAGATAGTTAAAGTATTCAATAGCTGCTGCCACTTGGTGGTTAAAAGTGAAAATAAAAGGTAACTTAAACTCTAATACATTGTGTAATTGATCACTGTTGATTGGGGACTGGTGCGGGGTCGGGGTCTAATTCGGGGCCGAGGCCGGGGTCTGGTTCGGGGCCGAGTCCGGGGTTTGGTTCGGGGCCGAGTCCGGGGTCCGGGTCGGGACCGAGTCCGGGGTCCGGGTCGGGACCGAGTCCGGGGTCCGGGTCGGGACCGAGTCCGGGGTCCGGGTCGGGACCAAGGTCTGGTTCGGGGCGGGCGAGGTCGCGCACGCGCACCACGGGGCTGACGCTCATCACCTCGCGCAGCTGGCGCAGGCTGACGGCCACCTCCGCGGCGCCGAGGTGCAGGCGCGTGGTGACGCCGCCCAGCCCCTGCAGCCGGGGCCGCGTGCCGTAAAACGAGTACTCCTCGGACTCCGATTCTGGAGTTTCATTGTGCGAAGACAATTTGGCTGTGGATTTCCTGGCGACCCCCTGGCTGGGCAGCTTGGCGGTGGACTTGCGCGCGCACCGGCGAGGCGGGAGGTCGACAGGGGCGGCGGGGCCGAGGGTTGAGAGCGGTCGCTTGCGGCTGCCGAGGGCGGGGGCGAAGTCGCCGTGCGCCGCCAGCGTGTGCGCCCTCAGATGGTGCAAGTATTTAAATTGACGCATACAATGGACGCAGAACAAGTTCTTTTTGGGATGGAGCACCTTGTGGTAGACGTAGCTGGGGGCGGCGTCCGGGTGCGTCGCCTCGTGGTGGGCGGTCAGAGCGTCGATGTTCTTGTGCAGCGTGAGGCAGGCGCAGCACTTGACGACGATCTCTCCCTCCTTGGCGAGGGGCGGCGCGACGCCCTCGTGCGTGTGGCGGCGCGCCTCCTCCGCGGCGAGCGCCTTCTCGCAGAGCAGACAGACCAGCTTCGTGTGGGCGGCCAGAGGTGGTCCGGCGGCGCGCTGGTTCCTGGTCACCATGCGAGCGGCCAGATTCTCGTGTCGGTCGCGCAAGTGCTTCAGCACGCTTTTTCTATGGCCGTTGTAGTCGCAGTGAGCGCAGAAGTAGGGCTTGATGTCGTCGTGTCGGATCACGTGCGCTCTAAACTCCTTGAGGTCGGGCAGCATGTCCGCGCAGAAGGGGCACACGTGCGCGCCGGACGGGGGCGGGGGCGGGGGCGCTCTCTGGGGCGCGGCCGCGGGCTCGTCGATGACCAGCTTGTCGTCGTCGTCGTCGCTGTCGCTGTCGCGGGGCGAGGGCGCGTGCGGTGGCGGATGAGGGTGAGGGCGCGGCGACGTCGGCGGGTGCGGGGCGCGTAGGTCCGGGGGCGCGACGTGCTCCTCGTAGCGCACCTCGAGCAGCGAGTTGTCGTCGGGCGCGGGGTCGGGCGGGGGGTCGCGTGCGGGGCGTGGGGCGGGCGCGGTGCCTACGCTGGGCGCCTGCGCGGCGACGACCGCGGCGACCCAGGCGGCGCGCAGTGCGGGGTCGCGCGGGGCCTCGAGGGCGCGGGCGCCGGGCTGGGCGTGCGCAGTCCTGCAGTGGAACTGCGCCTCGTGGTAGTTCTGGAACTTGTCCGGGCAGACGCTGCAACTCCACCTGCACCAGAACGAAACGATTACAATTAAATTACTGTGATCGTGTAGACGCTTCGGTCGCCATCTTTCTATACAGAAAACTAAAAAGTTAAGCTTAATATTTCGAAAAAGTAAATAGTATACGACGACGGCTCCGGCGTGAATGGAAAGCGTCGACCGGCACTCGCCTGATCTTGTTCAGCTCGATCTCCAGATGTTCTCGCATCGCCTTCTCCTCCTTCGAGGCCGCGCCGCACTTGGGACAGCAAAAATTTTCGTTTTCGGGAGCACCAAATTTGCCGAACGATTTCACTAGAGCTTCGATGTTGTAATCGTTAACATCTTCGGCGACCTGCGCGGACACTCCGGCGGCGGGGGACGGGGCGGGGGCCGGGGCGGGGGCGCTGGCTGAAGGTGATTCGACGGAGGGTCCTTTCGATGCGTTAATTCTGTTCCTCTCAATGGCGAGGAACTGGTAGTCGAGGACTTTGGCGATCCACATCTCGATGCGCGGATCGACGGGCAGCTCGATGGCGTCGCGCGCGCGGCGATGCTCGGTGGTCATGTGGTCGGCCAGGCCGGCCTTGTGGAACGCCTTGTACGAGCAGAACACGCATCCCCACCTGCGAACGACGCATATCACTGACTTTGACTACTGACCTCGCAAAACCTACACCGTACTCTGTTCGATGTGCAGCAACCAATGCTGCAATGCTGCAGTACTGCAATGGTGTACTCACTTCCGGCACTGCAGCTCCTCGTACAGGTGCGACTGCATCCGGTCCCTGCTCTCCTCGGCCACGTCGCTGCACAGCGGGCACTTGTAGTGCAGCCCGGCCGGCTCGCATGGCCGCCCGAACCTCTCGTACAGCTCCTCCCCCTCGCCCTCACCCTCACCCTCGCCCTCACACGCCACCGGCTCGCGCTTCACTATGTTCAGATCGATAGAGAGCGCGATGGGCGCGGTAGGCGCGGTGGGCGCGGTGGGCGTGGAGAGCGCAGGGGGTTCAGAGGTCGCGGCGGGCGTGGTGGGCGGCTCGGCGTCGTCCTCCGCCTCGGTCTTGACGCGTGCGTGAGGTGCCGGGGGTAGGGGGCCGGTGCGCAGGCGCTGGTGGCGCCACCGCGGCATGCCGTCGGGCTCGTCGGGGACGGTGCCCTCGCGGTAGTACACGTAGAACGTCTCATCCCCGCTCTCGGGATGAAACTTGGTTCTATGCTTGGTCGCATTTTCCAAGGTGGAGGTTCGGAAAGCGCAGTAGAAACATTTGTACTGCATCTTGCAGCCGTGCACCTCGGCGCAGTGGTCGACCACCTCCTGGCGGAGCATGCTGCGGTACTCGCAGACGCCGCACTGCCAGGGCTTGAGGTCCATGGTGGGGGCGGCGGGCGGCGGCGCGGGGCCGGGCGCCAACGCGGGCGGCTCCTCGCGCACGGCGAGCGCGGCGCCGGCGCCGGCGCCCGCGTGCCTGTCGGCGAGATGCCTGTCCACGGCCTGGCGGCGGTAGTGGAAGAAGGGGCAGGCGGGGCAGGCGTACAGCTTGGGGCCGTGCATGCGCATGTGGGCGAGGACGCGCGCGGCGGTCAGCTGCTTGGCCGGGTGGAGGCGGTGCGCGGGCGGGCAGTGGGCGCAGCGGAAGTCCGCGGCGGTGGAGTGCAACGCCTCCCAGTGGTGCTTTAGCATCTCCTCGCTGAGGGAGATGTAGCAGCAGCCGGGCGCGCCGCACGTGTAGCGCAGGCGGTCGGGCACGTAGCGCGGGTAGAGCGCGGCGCGGTCGGGCGCCAGGGAGGGCGCCAGGGGGGCGGCATGGGGGGGCGGGGCTTCGGGTCGAGGCGCCGCCAGGGAGCTGGACGCAAGGTTGACCATCTTGTCGAAGTGCTTCTCGTTGGTCTCGAGGTGGGGCACGGGGTTGACGGGCGCGGAGTGCGGGGCGGGGCGGCGCGCTGCGTGTAGCTGCAGATGGCGCGCCATGTTGAGCCGCACCTTGGTGCTGTACTCGCACACGGCGCAGAACACCAGCTCCTCGAGGATGGGGTGGATGGGCAAGCGATGGACGTCGCCGGGCCCGAACCTGGTCATCTTGGAGGGCGGCGGCGCCGACTCCGTTTCGCTCTCGACGGGGAGCGTTCTCTTGGAGGCCTTCCTCTTGGGCGCGTCGGACGCGAGGAGCTGAGGCTTGCCGCCGGTGAGCACGTTGGCGGCGACGAGGTGCTTTGCGACGCCGTGGTCGGTCAGCAGGTGCTTGCGAACGAGGGCGAGGGAGGCGTAGCGCTTGCCGCAAAGGGCGCAGGTGCCGGAGCAGGGGGTGTCGCGGCGGGCGCAGTGGAGGGCGCGGTAATGGTCGAGCAGGGCCGCCTTGCCGACCAGGGCGGGGCAGTGGGCGCAGGGAAACTCCTCGCGCCCAGCGTGCACCCCCAGGAGGTGCCTTTTGAATATTAAAGCAGTTTTGAACGTTGCGGAGGGACATACGCCGCACTTGAACAATTGCGATTTCTCCACCAGTATCGGTGGGTCGCTGACATTGGCGGAGACGTCTAAGGTGCCGCCGCAATTATCGTCGTCGCTGTCCAAGCAAATAATCTCGGAGCTGGTGTCGTTGTCCG